GTTAATATTCAAACATAAAACTTTTTTGTATTAATGCATTCTGAATCTTTCTTATGTTTACTGTCCCATGACTAGTGTTATGGACATAAAGATTTTCCTTGCGCTGTAGTCATACAATATCAGTTTTCAACACTGATTCTTAGACAGCATCAAATGATAGATGCTGCCTTATTTCAGAAGTTTAGAATGTAAAAAAAAAAATCTTGAAGTTAAGGAAATACAGTTTATCTTTAAATTCTTATGCAACCTTTCATAAAGTGCAGTAGAAAAAGCTGTGTTTATAGTCTTCCAATGTTACAGAAGACATTAAATGAATATTAAACTTAATGAGTTGACCTATATAAATTTTTAGTGGTTCAGGTACCATATGTCTAAGGCTGGGGCCACACGACCGTACAAAGTATGTTCATAGTACTGTGCGTCACGCGTGCTTCATGTGTTGTACCCTATATGCCCCTTCATAATTTTATGACGGACGTCACGATGTGTTTGCTTGTTTATGAAATAGTCCTGAGGCTATCTGCATGTACTGTATCCGTGTTTGTAAATTTTAATGCATGGTAGGTGTGTCATAATAATGTGTAAGTATATTTATTATCTATTAACACATTTCAGATGCCTTGTACGTCTGTTACTGATATCAAGCAGGACAGTAAATATATACTTTTCACAGTTATTTTGTTTTTATTGCACATTCATAACAAAATTTGCCTTGTGGGAAATTTTGAGGGAGTGATGCCAGAAGGTCATATCAGTATATTTGCATAATCAGAGGTATTTGATCTAACAACTTAAAATAGTTGGATGTATGCCATGTCAGAAGGGCATTATGCTGATGCTGCTCTACACAGAAATACAAACGGTTACATTTAGGTGGATGAACATTAAGAATGCTCATTTTTCAAATCAAATGATGACATATCACAGCTTAGGCAACTGTAGATTGATATGTTATTATTGATGTTTCATATTTGTTTAATGTGACCAGGCACATAATAAACCTGTCAACCAAGGAGAGGGCACACGACATCGATCTGCAGGTGCTGGCCTTTGTGCAGCAAAGCATCGGACTGCTTTCAACACGGGGTGAGTGGGTCGATATCACTAACTGAATGAAACTATAGTTTTATTAATTGACTAGTAATGTGGTATGAGCGTAAAGTTATTGAAGAAAATAAATAGTGAGAGCAACATAGGGACTCTACATTAACACGTGGAAAAATACTCGAATCAAGGATTTTAAAAATCAAAAGTAGAGAAGGAACAAGTGAAATACCTGTTGTGTCATAGGGGCTGTATAACAGTAGTTCCCAGCTTCTTTGGTTTTCTGTAATGCTGCCTGTGTATATTGTTTATAGAAATATGAATGTAAAAATTGTAAAAGAAATAGAATTGTTCTATCAGTGTATCTAGATGACTGCTGAGGAAAAGTAGTTTGCTGTTATATCTTTTAAAACAAATCGCAAAATGATGGCTGTCTTTTGGGATTTTGCAACATATAGTCTGATAGAAGTTTATTGTCCTTTCAGAGGTGCTTGTTGAGTACTCATCACTCTGATGATGGAGGCAGCAAGTACCTCTGTGACATTAGTAATCTTACTTCATACTACGTGGTACAACAACCATAAAATAGCCATCATCATATTCACTGTAGCAAGAATCTGGAATCTCATAGAAATTGCAGAAGCTGGCCCGATATCTGTCCACATACCCAATGTTATCAATACCATACTGGAACGTTCTGACATTTAAGAAATAGGGCAGGACAAAATCTTGGATAAGGAATCATGAATGCACTCTGCTGACAGCAGCTAGTCTGTTCAGCTATGTGCACTGGCTCAGAGTCGTAGTGGAGTGTGTTCAGTTTTCTTGTTCAAGATCCTTCCTGTAATTATTCATATCATATTATCTCTTAACTAGAGGCATTGGTTTTAAAATGGAAAATGCTATTTTCTCTAATTAAATAATCAAAGGTACTAATTATAAAATTTAGAATGTCAAATTTAATGCTTCCTCTAACAAATTTTGAAAATTTGTATTTTTCAGTGTAGTTCCTTTGAAATTCAGTTTTAGTATTTGATTAGTGCTGTTGTGATAAATTATTTCAGCGGTATCATTAAGTGACTAACTCTTTACCATTGATTATTTTCTTTGCTTGATTATTCATTTAAGATATATGACCTTATATTATCAGTGTTTAACTTTGGAATGCAAAATTAGCTTTACTTATTGTATACATTCGCTGGGATAGTGATATGAATGTTTGATGTTTGTGGTTTTAATGGTTCTTAGTTTTTAATGTGTACACTTGTTTTATGTGCAAGAAACACTGTGTTGCAAAATTGTAAAGCATTGCAAAATCACTTTTCATAGGCTCAGAATTCTGTTAAATGTTTTACTATCCTTTCAGTGATAAATGGCATTGTACTTCTCATGTATGTTTCTATTAATTGGCCACTTAATTGAATAGTGGTAAATGATAAATCAATTAAAAGTTTTACTTGGCTGACAACTGTAACAGTAAATAATAAAATTAAATGGTGTATTAATTTTTGTTTTGTTAATTCAGTACAGATGTATTATTAAATAAATCAAGAATATTAAATTAATTTATAATTTAAGTAACTTTCAAAACAGAAATTTTAACATGTGCCAAATAATTGCAATTTATGTATTAATAAAAAGTTGCTCTACTAGAGAACATTGACCTTTATATAAGTCTCCAGTCTGATTGGAGAGTAACATTTTTCTCATGGTTTTTACCATCATTAAAATTTTTTTAAAATAAATATTGTTTCATTAATATACACTTGGTTTCTAACACATACATGAG